GTGTGTGTGTGTGTGTGTGTGTGTGTGTGTGTGTGTCCTCCCTCCCTCCTCTCCAGCCTGGGGATCCTGCAGCCTGGGTCCTGCCCATCCCCCAGGACCCCGTGCACAGGGCCCTGCCAGCACTGGGACAGAGAGAAGAGTGATGGACACTGAGAAAGGAAGGAAGACAGAAAGAGGAGAGGAGCTGAAGAGGGCTGGGGAGGGAGCTAGGGAGCACTGAGAAAGGGCTTGAGGGAGGGAAGAGAATGGGGGGAAGGTGGCAAAGGAGAAAGGAGAGCTGAAAAGAGGTGGAAGTAGGGAAGAACAGACGGAGTGCGGGTGGTGACAGGGTGGAGGGGGGCTGGATTGGCCCTGCCCCTGAAGCCACATATGCCACCTCTATGGTCCCTGTCAGAGTCAGGGTGAAAGCTGGTCATCTAAGCCTCTGTCCCTCATGTCCTCTGAGTCACTGCTGGCTCTTCCTATGGTGATGCTGGGACCTGTCCCAATGGGCTCAGCTTCCTCCCCCAATGGAACTTGCTCCATTTCATGGGGAAAGGTGAGGAGAAGGAAACAGGGTGGTGAGGCCAGAGCCAAGCCAAACCATCACCTCCTTTGTTCAGAACATTAGATTCCCATTAATACCCCCTCAGGTCTTGCGACCCCTCTCCCTCTAGCCCAGTCGTTTGTTTTACAGGAATTGCTGCACACCAGGCCTGGGCAAGGTTATGTTCAAATCATGAGCTCAACCCCAGTGGGGACTCAGAGAATGACACCCCAAAGTTCTGGGGCTTGAAGATGGTGGTGTGAATTTCCATGGCGCTGAGAGAGTAATTCGAAGGGGAGGGTCTTTAGAGTCCCTCAATAATAATAATTCCTATCTACTGAGCATTTACAGTGTCAGCCACTGTGCTCATCTCATTTAATCCATAGAACAGCCCTAGTAGGGAATATTTTTAGCTCTACTTTACAGAGGAAGAAACTGAGGCACAGAGAAGTTTGGATACTCACCCAAAATCACACAGCCTGTAGGCTGTGGAATTGCTCTAACCACTGCATACTCTCCTCTCTCCCGGACAGTAACTAGGGTGCCCTCAGTGGTCACTAAGGGCTGTTCCAGCATTTTCACGTGTGGAAGACATCCCCTCCCGGGAACCAGCTGGAAGGTCTGGGGCCGGGAGCGGCGGTGCAGCCCTCCCCCCACTTGCTCATTTACATTTCTAGCCTCTAGCGGTGTTCCGTGCTCTGCCTGCTGCCCACCGGCTGTGAGCCCAGAGCACAGGCTTCTCTCTTTGCCTCTGAATTGCAACGTTGGCGGCAGAAGCGGGAAGCATATTGTGCACAGAAACAAAACTGAGTGGTTTTTCCTTTTTCTGAAGGTGGTAATGGTGCAATTAGTGGCTAAGCCATTACCCTTCCTCCCTTGCTTGCCTCCCTTCCTTCCCCTCTGCCTCCCTCCCATTTCTCTCCTGGAAAGAAGTCGCTGCATCAGAGAGTCAGCTCCATCATTCCCATCCTTGACTTCCAGGAAAAAGAGTAGAATTTGGTGGAGGGGGTACCCAATGTCTCCAGGGGCCCCTAGACCTAGGGATGCAAATCAGGGACTGCTGGGGTTGGGGATTACCGACAAGCAGACACCATTTCAGCAAATGAGGTGACCAGTAAGGCAATTTGGAGGTTCCAAGGGGGTGGGCTAGAAACCCAGAGGGTTTGGATCCCGTTACCCAACCTGCGCTCATTGTGGGCAAATTCTGGCAGGAGACCTCCACCTGGTGGGCTGTGAAATGTGCTTGAGTGGAGGGGGAGGGTGTGAAGGGCCTGAGATTCTAAGTTCAAGCTAGAGTGATACAGATGGTCATGGTCCTGCTTTGGACCTTCCTTTTTCTCTTCTAGAAACTAAAAAGAGACCTCCACAGCCATTAGCCCACTTCATCTCCACAGCCTTCCTCAGCAGTGGTAGCTTTGTTCTGTTTTGTAGAAAAGGAACTGAAGGCTCAGAGAGGGGCAATGACTTTCCCAGGTCACACAGCCAATAAATGTCAGAACTGATATTGAACGCAGACCCTTAAACTCCAGTCTATTTCCTCCTTAACCCCCAGGCCTTGGGGTGAGATTTTGAGGTCACAGATGGGGCTACTACACTGCAGAGTTGAAGTTGGCAGGGAAAGTGCCCACAAAGCTTGGGAAGGAAGGTTTCAGAGCAGGTCCATGGCCAACTTCCCTCCATGCCAGGCCACACTCCCCTCCCCACTGCTTCCTCCACCTCTTTCACCTTGACTTAAAGCACAAGCAGAAACTGGGACATGAGCCCCAGGAGACTAGATTTCCATGGTTCCTCTTGGGGCACGGGCTGGGGGAGAGGTTATGGGAGAGGCCTCGGGAGGGAAACAACTGTTACAGCTGTGAAAGGGGGATGGGCGGGTAGCTAGGGCTATTCCCTCCAGAATCCTGTTGTCTCCTCTGCACTTCTTCCCCAAGCTAGAATGCCAGTGTGATGGGCACCGTGGCAAAGAGCAGGGAGCAACAGCAAAATAAGAAAGACAGAGGCAGAAGCAAAAAAAAAAAATACAGAGGAGAGCAGAGATACAGTTCCAGAGACTACAGTGAGAGAGAGAGAGAGATCCCAATGAATTAGCTATCATTTCCCTATAAACCTTAGAACCCGGCTGTTGCCAGGGCAACGGGGCAATACCTGTCTCTCCAGAGGAGCTGAAGTTGCCAGGGTAACTGCATCCTGTCTTTCCTGGGGACCATCCTGGAATGTGGCACCCACCATTACCATGGCAACTGCCTTTTTGCCCCTCTTAATCCCATCTGAGGGTCCCACGGTTGGAAGTGGGGGAGGTGAGAAGGGAGCAGGTCAGTTGTAGACTAAGTTTGTCTCCCCCTGCTGCAGCCCCTCCCCCGGTCCTCTGGGGTGCTTTGTCCGCCTGCCCCGGGCCCACACATGCCTGCAGTATTGTGTGTGGTCGGGCCAGGGCGTCCTGGAGCAGGTTTCGCAGTGGAAGGCAGGCAGGTGTTGGGGAGGCAGTTACCGGGGCAACGGGAACAGGGCGTTTCCGAGGTGGTTGCCATGGGAACCTGGATGCTGACGAAGGCTCGCGAGGCTGTGAGCAGCCACAGTGCCCTGCTCAGAAGCCGGGGGCTCGTCAGTCAAGCCGGTTCTAGGTTCTCACTTGGCAGCACGGGGAAGCAGGCGAGTGGCCCCCGGTTCCGGGAGCAGAACAGCAGTGTCCCAGCCCCGGTCCTCCAGCCCCAAGCCTCGCCTGCCCGCACGGCACCAGGATGGCCACCATCACCTGCACCCGATTCACGGAAGAGTACCAGCTCTTTGAGGAACTGGGAAAGTGAGTTACACCTTAGAGCGTCCTGGAGGGCGCAGGGGGTGGGTGTCATGGGGTGTGTGTGTGCACCTTCGGTGTTCCTTGTGCTCACACAGGAAGGAAGGCTGTATGTGTTTGGGGGCACTTGCATGTGCAGAGTGCCCAGAACTGGTGTGGGCATATTTGTGGGTACACAGATGTGCCAAGGCCAGCTGGGTGAGTGTGTGTATAGAGGTGAAGGGTTGGTGGTACATGCCAGTAAGTGCACACACACGCACATGCACACACACATGCACACGACTTGGGTACACACAGATTCTTAGAAACTCAGGGTTAAAAGGGATTTTCCTGTCAGCTGAGTCCAGGGCTGGAATTCCCTGTGAGTTTCTCGTGAGGTGGCCATCTGGCATCAATTTAAATAACTCTGGTGACAGAGAGTTCATCACCTCCCAGGTAGTCCTTTCTGACTTTAGACACCTTCAGTGACTGTGTGGAATGGCCAACTTCTCCTTGGAAGCACATCCTTTCCCCACTTTCCTCCTCCCAGCTCCTTTAGGAGTGAGGACATCGGTACAGCAGAGGTTAATAACGGAGCGACTGGTGAGGCTTACTGGGTGTTGGGAGGAGGGGAAGGGCAATCAGGGAAGTTGGGAGGGGGCATTGCTGTTGCAGGGGCTAGTGGTTTGATGGTCCCTTGGCAAAGTTGTCCAGCCCCTGAGCTCATTTTCTGCCTCTAATGACTGGTGTGGAGAGAAGGGTGGGAGGAAGGGGGGAGAGGAGAGCCCCTTGGGGTAGCCCAGTAGGCTGTGGAGTGTCAGGGAAGCATTCCTGGATGCTCCCAGCAGGGTTTGTGGAAGATGCAGGGATGCACCCAGGGTAAGGGTACATACAGTTTGGAGGTAGAGTGTGCCCTGTGGGCAAAGCAGCTCCAATGCCCTGGGTGGTTCCTGCTGTAGGAGCAGGAGTGCAGGGGAGAGGGGCCCTGTAAGCAGGTATGTGCTGCTGTGAGGTCTGGAAGTGCACACACAAGTGTACATTTTGATGTGTGTTGTATAAGGACTGACTCTGGGGTACACTCTGTGCACTGAGAGGGTGTGCAAGTGTTCATGTGTGTGCACCAGGAGGAGGCGCTGGTGTGTGCTTCTTGTGTGAGGCCTGAAATAGCAAGTGTGCCCTGAAAGTGTTGGTGCATGCAAGTGGCACAGGGGGTGCTATTGGCTGGTTTGCATGGGAGTGAAGGTGTGAAGGTGCGTCACATGTATGGCAAATCAGAGCTGTGTGCACATCAGTAAGCAAATGTGTATGGGGTCTGGGCATGTGCAAACATATGTCTGTGTAAGGATGCACATCTGGGACTTAGGCACAGTGTTGTCCCTACGAGGTCTGGACATGTGTATCTGTGTGAGGACATGGTGCACGCACAGAGGAAGATTTATGTGTGTGCGTGTGAGGCCTGGGCCCACAGGCTCGGGTGGGAGTGTGGATGTTCTGAGCTCATGCTGGTATCTGCATATATGTGGGATGTGGGCCTGTGGCTGTGTACAAGTAAGGTGCCTGCACACACACACTTGCACATCGGGCAATCCTGACACCTACAGGCACACGCCAGCTCCTTCGTACAGACACACACCCCTGTGCAAATGTGTGCTCACTCTTTTCTGCAGACTTCCTGACTTTCTGAGTGTGTTTTTGTGCTGGGGGGAGGCAACAGGAACAAAATGTTTAGGGCTACTCTGAAGGACTGAGGCTGACTGCCAAACCCGGGCAGGGACCCCCTTCTCAGCTGGTTTTCAGTGCCCACTGGATGGCGAGGATTCCCTGATTAGCTGGGAGCTGCCTTTCAGGGTGCGACCAAGGCTTGGTTCTGGGAGGACTGCGTCACAGAGTGCAGTGAAATTGAGTTAAAATGTGACTCAGGTGTTCAAAATGACAATAAAAGTGATGTTTTACCCCACGAGGAGATGGAGATCATGAAGACTGGGTGCTGTGGGGGTGACTTGCAGGGAGCCTTCCCAGCTCCGCTGCCTGCCAGGGTGTTTGGAGGGACAGGGGCAATGGCAGCACTTCAGGGGACAGGGAGACCTGCTGTGTCCATGGCAGGAAAACTGAGGGTGGCAGGAATGGCCAAGCCTTGTCTAGTCAATTTCAGACTTCTTCCTTCCAGAATCATCAGTGCTCTTAACCTTTTTTAGGTCACATATTCCTCCAGGAATCCGATGAAAGGCTAAGTCTACATTCCTCAGGAAAATGCGCCAACCTAAAATATGTTGCATGCAGTGTCAGGGGCTTGCAGGACATCAGGAAGGCTGCGGCTGTGGCTGGGCCTCAGGTTAAGGATGCTTTAATTGGAAAAAAGGGGTTGAGGACCCACACCTCTGATGCCCGGGTTAAAAAGGCTGGGGTACCACTGGGAGGAGGGTCTTCTGCTCTGCGTGATACTTCAGTCCAAGTGCCCAGTGGGATAAGTAGGGGCAGTGCCCAGCGCAGAGCATAGGCTCTGGATCTCAGTGACGCTGGACAGGCTATGGCACTTCTTTCCCCCCACCTATAATCTGGAGATAAAAATGGGCTGTGAGGACGAGATGAGATGGTGCTCGTGAAGACAGTGACAAGCCTGGTACACAGTGGACCTTCCAGAAAGAATTGCTTCTGGGGACTGAAGCACTGAAGGTGTCTGCAGGGCCCATCCTTCAATTGGTGACCCAAGGTCCCTGCCAGCCGGGTCACTGCAGTCGCCACCCAGAAGCTGAGCCCCGGTTCCAGGAGCCCACTTCAGATCACTGGCAGGGTGACTGGCAGAGGCAACTGGGTGGGTCCTACAAGGGGACATGGGAGCTTTCCGTCTCCTTCTCAGGGCCCTGGGATGCCCAGCTGGAGAGGAGGACACGTGCCTCTTGAGGGCATCCTGGTGTCCTGCCCGATGAGGCCTGGCTGGTGACTGCAGACCTTCTTTCGAGGAGCCCAGCTGGCTGTGGATGAAACAGAAGCTACCCCTCTCCCTCCTGGTGGGCAGCCTGCTGGGGGCGTGTGGTCTGGAGTCAGTGCCCAGCGCAGGGGCTTCTAAGGGCCTCTTGATGCTACTGGAGGAAGGTCCCACTGCAGCATATGAGTCAGATAAACCGGGAATTGATTCCAGGTCCCCTAGAGGGGTGAGGTGGGGCTGTCTCTGGGGACCCAGAGCCCAGCTCACTCTCCCCTCCCTTGACCCCAATCCTCCTTCCTCCCAGGGGATAAGAGAAATGAAAGCCAGACCTTGGGAGCACAGAAGCTTATTGGGAGGCAGGCTGCAGACGCCAGCTCAGGGTCAGGGTGGGCCTGGGCAGTCGGGCCATAGCTCCCGGCAGACCAGGCAAGTGTTCTCCGTTCTTTGAAGACCAGGATCAGGGGAAGGGGTTAGTTTCCAGGAGGTGGAGGAGGAGGGTGCCTCCTCCAGCCTCTCACATGCTCTGGGCTTTGAATCTCACTGCCAGGAGAGGTCGGGGAGGCCGAGAACTGCCCTGCAGCCTGTGTAATCACCACAGAAAGAGCCTCTGGAGGAGGTATTACTTGAGAGAAGGAGAGAGAGGGAGGGAGACTGGAGAGCGGGTACAGCCCACTCTTTTCTCTCTAGAAACAGAGATCTGAAATGGACTCAAGGGCAATGTTGGGGTTGAGGCTGGGGGAGGGGTCCCAGGGGCCAGCAAGGTTGGGAGGACAGGGGGAGGGCAGAGAGCTGGCTCTGGAGAAGCTGCACCCAGGACTTTGTATTCTGAACCGGACTTGGGCTGGGCTGACCAGGGGGCGATACTGGGGCCCAGAGGCAGCTCCCTGCACTTGGGTGTCCAGGGTCCTGGGGGCTTAGGTTCCCCTCTGGGGACACAAGCTCTAATGTCTCCAAAATGTGTTTAGCTATCTGACCCTTCCCTGGTAGAGCTGTTAGGAGGATCGGTGATATAACACTGGAGAGAGAGGACACGTGGACATGGATGCCCCACCCAAAGACCGGTGTTGTAATTTTACTTTGCTTCTAATAACCTATTACATTTACAGCACTTTGGGGCAGTGAGGCTCTTCTCCATGCATGAGCTCATCTGTGCAGGAGACAAAGGACTTACTTATCCATCTCACAGATAAGCAGACTGAGGCTTGAGCAGGAGAAATGACTGGCTCGGGGGACTGGTGGCAGCACTTAGACTTGCATGTATGTCTCCAGCACCTGCATATGGGAGAAGGTTGATGAGAGGGTTGCCTCCTGGTGCTGTGTCTGGGGAACACCACTAGGAAGAGGGATGGTGGCCTGGTGGGTGAGGGGACTCTGAGCTGTCACTTATTTTCCAATCATGATTCTTCTTCTCATTCACTGGGCCACCCTGGATGGATTCCTTGTCCTCAGTGTTCCTCAACTTTACCATCTGTAAAATGGGACTGGAATAGCTTTGCAGATGCTAAAACACGCCATTAGAATTGCTGCCCTCTTTTGGCTCCCTCTGTGGAAGGCACACATGGGAATTGCAGACTTCCAGAACCTCCAAACTGGAAGGACCCCGGACACTGTCGCTACTCAGCACAGATGGTGAGGTTAATACCAAGAGAGAACTGGTTTGCCCAAGGCTGCAGGGAGAGGCAGTGGCAAAGCCAGGGGTGGAGGCCATAGGCCAAAGATGGAAAGTGGGGGAGCAGATCCTCAAGGAGGAGGTGGCAGGGTCAGGGGAGGGGACAGCCTTTCCTCCCCTCTCACCCAGCAAGCCATCAGAACGACAGGCACGCACATATTCTGGTGCATGCAGCAGCCCTCCACCCCCACGCAACCACCCCCACACAGCCTGAGACACACTGACACTCTGCCGAGCCGCCCGCCCACCCCCCTGGCACCAGCACTCAGTGACACTGCTGCCAGCACCCCTGCAGTCTGGGCCCTGGGTCTCTCGGTGGGGTGAGGGCAGAGCCCTGGGATGCAACACCAGCATCCTTTTGCTAAAGCACATACACACACACACTCCCACACATGCATATGGACGTGCGTGGGCACACATACACTGGCTGCA